GCCATCAATGTTGCCAAAGCGTCGAACAAATCAGACAAAACCTGAGCAGGAGGCGGCGCAGAGCCCCCCCTGCTCCTGCTGGCGTTGTCGTTGTTGCATCGGAGAACATCGCCGCGGCGGTAGAAGAGTGCTGTGTTGGTTGTGTTCCGGCCATGAAGACAGCGACCCGGTTTGGCAGATCGAGGGGGTCCAGAATACTATTGCCATCAGAACCTCCACTAATCCGGCCGTCCTGCAGCTGATACAGCGACTCGGTCTCTCCAGTCGAAGACTCGTCATCAGAACAAACAACGGTTTCTCCACCAGATGCCGATCCATCCTCATACTCCACTCCATGGATGACACCTACGAAAACATGCCTTGCTGCGGGCTGAACCGGGGTAGGGCTCGCACGCTGAGCCGTCTCGATGATGTCGGTGCAGGTGTCCGGCTCAGGGCCCGGTTCGCCGATCTTGCCGATGAAGACGTGAATCCCACCAAAGGGGACCCGGTACCCATATTCGATTGAACCGGCCTCGAGACCCCATCCTGCATCGTCGATGTAGAGCTTGCCGCGACGACTCTTTGTCATCCGGCCCACAGTGTATCCCTTGAGTCCTTCGAAGCTGCCCATCAAGAACTCGAAACCATCGTGCGATAGCCCCACGGTGGGCGCCAACTGTCGTGGGTTTGTCACGGCAGATGTCCTCGTGAAAGGACTTATTCGTGGAGCCATCGCTATAGGTTAGCTTGAAGGGGTTAAACCGGACAAGGGACACGAGGGATTTTATACTAGTTTGGCCCCTTCGATGAAGGTAAAAGCCTACGTTTAGTTGTGATTGGTATTGCTGGGGTTTCGATGACCAGGGAGCGAATCCGCTTTGCCTGGCTTTCGAGTTGTTGTCTGTTGTCCCTAAACCGCCGTCGGGTCGTCCCTTTATATACATAGGTTGACGTCCACCGGTTTAGAGAGTCCCAAGGCCGGATCATAAACGTGGCCGGCTCAGTCTCTATTCTTTCTAACTTACAATACAAGTTACATGAAAGAGTCGGTTTACATCTACAGGATTTAACTCGCCTTTGGGCCTTGGGCCTTTGTAAAGCGCCACCATCCTCACGTCTTCATGAGCTTCTATATTCATGGAGTTAACCCGGCCATTCCTAGCCGGTTTACCTCCAGTAGTCATATCCCCAACACATGCCCCCCCCACCCCTCCTCCTCCCCCTCCGTGTGTGAGAAACTTTTTCATATACTCTGCAAATTTACATATGAAACGAAAAAAATCAACCAGACCCACCTTCTACTCAGTAATTTGTGTTTGACTCCGAAATTGCATGGTGGCCCAAGCGTTCGACATTCCAGGTGTAAGCTTCGGTACCAACAACAAGGACGGGCTTCAGTTATATGTGGAGTCAACGCCTTACCCAACGGCAACATTCCTCTTCTCCCATGATAAGGTCACCAACAAGAACCCCACCTTTTTTTAAGAAAAAAGGAAGGATAATAGGGTTCTCTTCCCGAGGAATTCTCAGAGCATCTTTATCGGTCTAAAAAGATCCCCTCTCAAAATCTCACAATTTTTCAGCAGATAGTCAATATACATATTATCTACATTCTCTCTCCTATATTTTAGTAATATGTTATAACTACCCATTCAACTATGAGTTGGTTATGCTCAAGAAACCATGATCTGACTCCATTTGCAAAAAATAGACACAAACAACAATGAGACATCATCGTCACAAACAACAACAACAACAACAACAACAACAACCCGTAGGGACAATACTGTATAAATAGTGTAAAGCATGCACTTTGCTGCGTATATTATTTTATTTTTACATAAATTTGTATTTTTAAGTATAGAATTGCAACATATAAATATTGTTAAAATGCATAAACAAACCGGATGATAAACTTTGGTATGTTAGTTTTCTACGACAAATCCTGGGATATCAATGATCACCTCTGTCGGAAGTTGCAAATGGAATTTTTTGTAACGTGTTAATCTAACAATTATTGTGCCTTTCATTTTTCTTTCCTAGTAGTATGTCTTTAATAAAAAAATGTCGGTTTTTCATCATCACAAGAGTAAAACCCCATTTTATTCCCACACTCCTGTTGATTCACCAAGAACAAATTCATGCCTCGTGAAAGGAAAATAAACGGAAATTTCATCAAAAATAAAAGAGGATAGTGCCATTCTGCCATGTCATTGTGATGTCGATACAAGTTTCTGCAAAGCAAAATTTGTGTAGCCCTGATTGGCCTCAACATACTGTTTTCTTTTCTTCTGACCTTGTAAAAACTTCGTAGGAAGCCCCAACCAGAGAAGAGTCTCCAGCCGGCAAATCATAGCAAGTTTTGTTGATATGAAATTCGAGCTGAGAAATCAAAACTGAGGACTTGAGTCAGCAATGTGCCACACGCCGTTGCTTCAGTATCCAGCAAGCCTGCAAGTAGCCACCCCTGCGAGGTTGTCCCAACAAGTTGGCCAAGACAATCAAGTGACAATGAGAGTTATGTTGCATATCCCTGGGAATGTTATCATATTCAGCTAGAAGGACTTGGAACAGAATCAAGGTTCTGCAATCATAATTGTGGGTGGGTATCAAATCAGCGGCAACCATCGTAAAATGCCGCAAATTTGCAAAGATCAGTTTGCGTTGCGTCCTGTCACCGGACAACGAATCCGGTGGTTGTATTCAGCCCCACATGGTTTCTGAAAGAACAAAATGAGGGATGCCATAGGCCCTCAAAGTGCAAAAGGCGGTCGATGTATGGTGAAGTTCTAGGGCTTCAGAGAACACTTGTAAGCTGATATAGCCGCAGTGGCGCAGTCATATGTGATATGTGACAAGCTTATGAAAAAAAATTATATAAGACCATGTCTTACGGTTAGCAGGTGAGACCCGTCCTGATAGATGACACGTGGCAT